ACAATAGCGCGTTCGATCCCCACCATAGACACCTGCGGTCCAGAGTTTTGCAAATATCTCAGCAACGTTGTGGTTGTATTAAGATATTACTATTCTACAACGATATCAACATCAACGTCAAAAGAAGGGTTAGGCAAAGCGATACCATGTCGCCAAAATTATTTACCTCCATCCTCGCGAACGTAATGCGATTATTGGAATGGGATAATATGAGAGTGAAAATCGATGCTCGGCAGTTACACCATCTTCACTTCGCGGATGATATCGTTCTTATAACACCAAACATTAGCCAAGTGGAACGTACGCTTGCCGACTTTGATAAAGTCTGTGGAAAGATTGGTCTTCGACTAAAACTCACAAAAACGATGTTAATGTTGAACGGATTAGTTTCTTATGCCCCATTCTTGCTCAGCGAACGAATATCTCCGAATGCTCCAGTTATACCTATCTAGGTCGGGAAATCAACATGGTAAACTAATTAGCTCCAGAAGTGAGTGGGGCGAAACGAGCGCTTCAGGAGCCCTCAAGATCATCGAGGATTTTGCGAGGAAAACAAAGAATACCCGACTCCGTACCCATCTTTTCGACTCGAGAGTCCTTCGTACGTTAAAGTATTCCTCAAAAACCTGTTTGCTGCGTAAACAGGACAAAAAATCACTCAGCGTTATTGAACGCGCAGTCGATGCGTGGCAGTGTGTTAAGCGAAATACATCCACAGGATTGCTGAGGTATTTGTAAAACTCCGGACCGCAGGTGTCTGCAATTGGGAACAAGCGCGCTATTGTCCTTTCAAGGGAGTAACGCGTTCACCACCACACCATGGGGGTCCTTCGTTTCGCCTGTTTCTCAGCTAGTTTTGTCGATCAGTGCCATCAGCGGTCACCCGCCAGCAGGATTAAGAGGGCAATAACGCGTTCGTTCCCTACCGCAGACAAATGCGGTCCGGAGTTTTGCAAACATCTCAGCAATCTTGTGGTTATTCACCAAATAATTTCTGTTTTGCATATTAGCATATGCTTCTTATTTACCTGTAACTATCTTAACTCTATCTTCACATCTTCTCTAGATTGGCTCTTGGCCACTATCTCATGCAGTTGCCTTTTAGGTGGCTGGAAATGGATTCTGTATCTTGTTTTAGTAAACCTAGTACCTATTGGTCGTCTTGTATACACAGTGAGATTTACTCGTCTTTATGAACATAAATTGTCGAGGTACTTGAAAAGCTGTCATTGTTTGACTATAGGTTTCGTAAATATGTTGGATAACGGAGATTTTTACTTTCTTGGTTTCGTCGTAATATTTCAATTGTTTTATTGGATTCGAGAGGTTGGTTTAAGTGAGTAACCTCGTCTATCGAATATAAAATCGTTGTCATAAGTCTACTCTGGCGCAAAGATAAGACTTATGTTGATTGCGCAAAGATGCGCAGAACAAATTTGATGACGATATTCTGTCAACCGTTAATTAAATCTCGCGACCTCTTCATTTCGAAGGTTTCTTATTTCGCCAGTGAGCTGAACTGAACCAACTGAACTACAAGTGAACTGAAGTTGTTTTGTATGTCCCTTCTTTAATTTAATCCTTCAAATGATGCTATAAATCGTAGTAGATTCTAAAGTGTTCTATTTGTTTTCCGGACTGAGTTCTCCTTCACGAATCTTTTGAAATTATTGCATTGTAAATTCATTGACGATTCCACAACCGATGATTTCTGCTTTTTTGCGTCAAAGCTTGATTTCGTAAAAAATTGTTACAAATAGTTTCTTTTTTGGATCAGTCTCTCAGTATTTTAAAACATGAAACCAACGTAAACCAATTCATATTTTTCATGTCAGGGGTCTCCGTGGTTCAGTACGTGATACGCAAGCCCCCGGAAAGAGTGATAGTGCTTCGATCTTGACCGGGGGTCCAAGCTCTGCGAATATCTCAGCATCGCTGTGGTTGTGTCTCACATCATACCCTGCCGTGAAAATTTATAGTAGGCAGAAAATAGACGATTAACATATCTCATATTTTGCTACCTATATTAATGAAACTCTCAATTTCCAGATAATGCCTCTGTGTGCAGCCGTTGAAAAAAGACTACCTACTACCTACCAGTTCACAAATGTTGTAAGCATTTATTCCGCATCTTTGAAAAAAAATATTAACTTGCTTTTCACAGAGAGCAGCATATATTGCAAAAACCTTTTATCCGAGCGTTAATATATGGTGAACATAAAATGGTTTCTAATTTAAGCAACAAGTACCTGGTGCGAAACAATATGTCGTTGACGCATCTCGAATGGGAAATGTTACACGGTAAACTCTCTTAGAAATCATGTTGTTGCCGTTGTTGTTTCCTTTCAGCTGTTGAATATATCTGCCACTTTCAGGTATTTCAATCACGCTTGTGGTGATGTAGCTAATCTTGAAGCCGTACCACTTTTTTCACGTGGAAATTTGCTCACTAACAACATGATTTTCTTCACAAGGCGTAGTATCTCTAGAGGTTATCTTTTTGATATTTTGGAATATATCAACACGAATGTACATTTGGCAATGAAGTAGAAAATGGTGGAAAACCTACACTTCTCTGAAAGTTATTGTGATAGTCGTTGTGGTGAGTAAGATGTGATTGTTGGGTTTTTAGGTGAAGAACTTACGTTTTCATATCACGGCAAGGATTCCAAGAAAAGGAAGAACGGTGTGCAGTGCTTGTGAGTTTTGCAAACTGCATGATTTTTTAAATATTAAAAATTTTGGGAAAGTCATTAATGAAATTACATCATTTTGCGAAATCGCTCTCACCTTAAGCTGTATTAATCGAAGGATTTTTGTTGAAAGTCGGTTTTGAGATTTCGGTTGTCCACAAACGTTAAGAGTCTGCGCAAATGAATTCACACAATGCTCGTATAAAATTAAACGTTATCATTTTAAATAAATTAGAATGCGGTTCTGAGCTGCCTAGAAATGATATACATAGGCCTACGATTACTTGCTTCGATTTCGTTTTGTGACTATCTGAGCGGGGCCAGTGATGTAACCAGTCATACAGGTAAGCCAGCGGTCCTCCATTGCGTTTAGCTTGTTAAACGAACGTGAAAAGCATCATACTTTCCAAGCAAGTTATGAGTATGTTTTTTCTCTGTGGACTCTGTCGTAGTATATGTTTTGCTCCTAATTGGGCTTTCTGATTAAAACGTCGAACTCTTTAGTTTGAATATGAGTAAATAATAGAACGAGGAACCATTGGTAGCTACAGTTCTTACAATTAGTGAAAGCACTGCCCTCGTTTTCTTCCTACCATACTATTTTCGTATGTCTTCAGTTCGCTTCCGTTGAGCTGCTGTCATTCCCATAAATGTCGACCAACGCTTACATAGTCATAGTGCTTAAATTAGAATACAAACGCTAAAACAATTATATTTAAAAATTTTTCATGTAATGATGTGTTTTTGGTTTTGATTTTAATGTATTTAATAAGTTACATCTTAATTGAGCTATAGGTCATCATTTTCAGGTGTACACCCGGTTGCAACACTCGATTGTAATGGTCCTCACTCTTGGTTTCTCATTTCTGTGCACTCCGAAGAATATACTAGAATATCGGAAGGTTTTCTTTTCAGTTCTCACAGCTTTGCTCTGTTAATTTCAACGGTGGAGCCCTAGATGCGCAATGTTTTCACTGAATCGTTGTAGGTCTACTGCATATTTTTTCTATTATTGTTGCTCGAATACTTTGGTGTTCTCATTTGACACCGGCTTGATTTATGTAAAGTGGTTTTTGTGTATTCTTTTTTTCTGATAAGCTTACACGAGGTGGTTACGAAACATTTGGCTAACGTTTCTAAGTCTTCCTCTTCGTCAGAGCCGATGATCCGACTCGATGTGCAAGGTCGTCCGTACTCTCAGTGTGGTGTCTTCGTCATCGTATCGGGCCAAATCTTCTTTAGTGGGATACCGCTCAAATGAGGCACTCTTACCCGGCGATGCTCTTCCATACAGGACGCTTGTTACTGATAATAGTAGTTATTCGGTGTAAACGGACTGTTCTTTCCCGAACAATCTATCCTACAGAAGTCGTTATCATTATCGGCTAACATCGGGCATAAGAATATTTCAAAACCGACTTTCCTTTAACCTTGGTATGACTGGCCAACATGCACTCCATTTTTTATCAACCTTGTGTAAGCCTTTTATGAGTTCATTAATGACGTTGTCTGTGATTTTCAACGATTTTGTAAGGCATTGCTGCTTTTTTCTCATCACTATACACCAGGTAAGTGCACGTGTAGTCATCTTTTTTTGCGAATACTTCTCATCGTTTTTAGTGTGTCCAGAACATTCTTCTTCGTTATTTGCCCTTTTATATCTTCGTATTCTTTATTCTTCTTTCATTCCCGTCGAAAACATTTGATATGTTTCAGATATTGTTCTGAGGACGAAAGAACAACCGAAGACTGTCAAAATCTTCTGTTATGCCACAAAAATGGAGCACAGAAAAGTCGTGAAGTGACTTTGAGATTGTCCTTCAAGAATGCATCACGCGACAGAATGTCTGTCATTATCGAGATCTCTCAACTGACTCCGTATCTCGTCTCGGCGTCGAAATACTAAGGGATTGGATGCTCTGTTACTTATTTATTTCACTAAAGAGCTCGAGCGGAAACTAGCGAAATCTTCATTCGGCTCTTCCACTTTTCAGAGCTTACTAGTCGTCTCCGTTATTGTTTTTCTATGAAAGAATATCTATACTCAGGTCTAACTTGCTCATTTATTCTTGACTAGGTTTGTATGCAGAAACAAGGAAATACTAGATTGTAGAAATGCTTGAAAAAATTCTACTTAATAAAAACGGCCAAGTATCTCATATAAATTAGAACAATGTCTGTCGGTGTTTTATGACAAATATGTAGCAGGTTGAAAGACGATCCAATGAAATGCTCTCAAATATGCGGAGGCACTCGATTCAATTCCAATACAGGCCGGTAAGAAAAAAGGGGATCCAAAGTATTTAGTGAAGCTCAACTAATATGTTCAGATCGGTTTTTACTCAAAATGGTTGTAGTGGACAACGGTATGGTAAATGAAGGGTAAGACTGAATTCCCTGTAATATCTTCACATTCACTGCCTTCGGAATTCTGCAAGTGAGGAAATCCTCGGCTGTAAGTGAGCGCACACACGTATCAGTATTACTCCACTGCGATTCTTATGTGGGAGATCGAGAACCGAATTCGGAATAGAACAATACCTATGGAATAGACAAATATACTAAATATAGAGCACATATACAATCCAGTGGATAGTGATATATAATGTTTAGTAACCTGAGAGCTTTCCTTAAATCGATAAATGTGAGGTAGAGCGATCTTTTGTACTCTAGCAATACCTTGATGAGTCTTTCCATCGAGTGGATGTGGTCTATGTTACTGAATCCTTTTCGTAGCTCTGCTTGCTCACATGGCTGTCCTTCGTTCAGTGTTCTGTCAATCCAGTTTAGGATGACTCAAATGAAAAATTTGTAGGCGACAGACTGTACGCAGATTGGGTAGTAGCTTCTGGTAGTGTGAAAGTTATAGTTTTTAAATAATAGCACAATCTTGCTGGTTTTCAACTGAATAAGGATCTTGCATTCAGATGGGTAACGTATGAAGAGCCTAGCCAGTGTGTTGACGAGGACTGGGGGAAGGTTATTCAGGTGCTCAGATATTATTCTGTCCGAACCTGGTTTTGTTCGATTCATCATCGACGAAATAGTCGGACTTTGGAAGAGAGAACCAGTAGTACGACCCAGCTCTCTTAATTTTACATGAATCGAAAAGAACGTAGTTAATGAAGAGATACGAACACTAAACGCTAAAAATTTTCACTATTGCCTTTCTGGAAGCTGTAGCTATTTCATCTTGGCATTGGTGTGCAGTCATCTTGGCCCTATAATTAACGGAGAGCTCGGAACATCGGTGGGCCACCACGACTCATTGTATAGATCAGATATGGATTCAATCACATCTAAACGATGCTTAATGAGGTCGAATGCTTGGCGCATCCCTTAGAGATTGAGCAACACCGAGAGCTTTATTCTTTTATGATTTATCCTTCCATTGTTCAGTTTTCCAATATTTTTTTCATGTTTCACTAACTCCTATATATCCACCATGTTCTTGGACACTTCTTGTGTGTGGCAGAAAAAAATCCGTGCGTTATCTAACCATTGCCTTATCAACGTTCCGCATGCTTTCTTGTGACAGTTAAAGTACATTTCTGTGATTCTTTTATGGTAACTCCCACGACCGACTTTCTGCACAAGTTGACAGCAATCTATTCGGCTAAACACAACACCATAATCAAACAAGGAAAACACTAAACCAAGATTCCAATCATATTGAACACAGCTTTGCACACTCACCGCTTTCTATGAGGCTTTCACTGAGTATGTCGCGCGAAGACCAACCGCACAAAATTCACATGGAAGCGTAATGTGTTCCTCTCATCAAAATATTCTTTTGTTTCTTTTTTTTCTTTTTTTTTTAATGTTTTTTATAACAACTGATGCCATTCCACCGTCCGAAACGGCTTTTTGCAACAATGCCTTAAAACAACCATTCTTGGAGCAACCCCAGGATAAAATATCTGCATTTGACAATTTATCTATTATCCACAAAAACTCGTGAAGGTTTTATATGATATAAAGCAACGGGCATAGGTGAAAATGTTGTGACAGAAACAGATTCGATTAACCCTGTGCAATAAACAGTTGTTACTACATAAAACGATCAACCCTTTCACGACCACGAGCATTTTCGCATGGCTGACCCATCGGACGGCGCGTCGCTGGAGCGCAATTAGAGTGCGCATTGAAATCGGGATGTACAGTCCGAAGAGCTGAGCAGCATACGTATTGAAATCAATGTGCATGGTCTTGGAAAGGTCAAATAAGTCATCCATACAGTGTACATTTGCGTCCATCATGAATTAACAGCGAATTAATGGCGTGAAGTTAATCATCCATGGATTGCTTGATAAGCCGAATTTATAAGGCGTAACAAATACCCAAAATTTCATTTGGAGACAACTATCGACCACTGAACGTCATAAATTTTGTAACCCGATCAATTATAAATTTTACGGTGCCGATCGAGTTGCCATGATCTGGCAATAACTTCTTCATAGTTTAGACTACCAGCAGCACCTTGACTTTTTATCGTAATGATTGACTGAATATTTCTGTCTCTTAGTATTCGACAGCATTTCAGTCGATAAATTGAGTAGATCGGCAACACAATCGAGAGGATCGGAATGACCTAAAACCAAATCGACTTGGAAAAGTACTGCAAATTTTTCAAGCAGCAGAATCTCTTACGTAGGAAATATGGCGCAGGGAAATGTACAATTTGTTGTCACTGAGAAAGAGTTATTGGTCAAACACTCTGACGAAGATACTCCCAACTCCATAGAAAACGAAGAAGGTTCTAAAATTGTTCTATGATTGTTATCCACAAATCCAACAATAAGCGATGCATGACATTTTCTATAACTAAGCTTTACGAAACATGCGCTTGAGGACAACAAAAAAGGCTAGCAAAATCATTTTCGCTTACATTGGAAATCCCATTTAATGTGAAATTTCAAGTTTGTTGCAAGATTAAATTACTTGGACCTATGGAAGGATTTATCTTAGTGAAATTTGATTGGACTGGCACTTGAAGAGTGGCGTTGTGGGTAGCGAACTGCGTGGTGATGACGTTCTCGCGCGTGTCCAAGAACATGGTGGATATATAGGAGTTAGTGAAACATGAAAAAAATATTGGAAAACTGAACAATGGAAGGATAAA